GATAACAAAAATTCTTCCACAAATGTTCATTGCAGTAGTATTCACAGCAGTCAAAAAATGGAATCTGAAAGGACCAGCAACAGATAAATGGATAAACAACATGCAGCATACACAAAGAGGTAGTGCCAACAATGCTCTGGCACATGTACAACCTCGGTGATGAGCCCTGGAAGCATTATGTTGAGTGAAATAAATCAGCCACACACGCAAAACTATATTATTCCACTTACCCAAAATAGGCTAATGTATATAGACCAAAGCTCAGTAATGGTGACCAAGTGGGGGGAAGAAGAAGGGAAAAGGAGCCACCGTTTAGGAGGTATTGGGTTCCTGTTCATGGTGGTTCAATAACTGCAAAAGAAATAGTTGCACTACAGGATGAACACAACCAATGTCACTGTGTACAAGCCTTGCTGAATTGAAAATGTTTTGCTATGTATATTTTACCACAATAAAAAAGGCAAAACTTGACAAGAGAATTCTACTAACGTGAGTTTCATTTACCTGCTACTGTTTGTCCATGGACAAGGATATAAATAAACAAAACCCTAGTAAACTCCCTAGTGCACCCTTCTAACATAAATGAAACAAAGAAAGGAGATTGAAAATACCATTCTGGCTTCACTATGTTCAAATCGTTTGTGTCACTTTCCACATCATTGTATGTTTAGTGTTACGTTTGAGCCTTTTGTTGTAGACAATGGGTGGATCCATCTCATGGAGGACATTCCCCTTTTTGGTGCCCTTCTGCTTCACCGCACCTGATGCCCATTCCCCAGAGCTGACTGCCCCTATTTGTGTGTCCAAAACATGGGAAACAAAGTCGCACCATTCCAGCTACTAAGGAACATGATGCTTGTGTTAGACAGGATTCTCTAGAGAGATAAAACCAAATTCCTGATAATTTAATATATTTATTTATAAAGATAATTAGATATATATAATGAGAAATGAACTGTTAAATCATATACAGATAAATATGTAATACAAGAAATAAACAGTTAAATTAGAAAGCACTACAAATGACCCAGTGCAACTCACATCCATGAGAGAAAGTTGAGAGACTAGCAGTCCTTCAAATCTGTCTGATGCCAGATCTTCCTCTATTTGTAGAGAGAGCTAGGCTATGTCAGCACAGCAGCCAATCACAAGGCAGGTCACCAACCGCCAGTCCCCAGCTCCAGAGAAGTCTTAAAGGGACCTCAACTTACAGCGACACAGTCCACAGGCTAGGTGTCCCACAGGCAGTGTAGCCTTTAAATTGAGGCACAGAACAAGCAAGGCAGCTGCACACTGGTCCGATGATCACAGAGCGAGAGACAAGAAAGGCAAGGCTCACCTGATTTGAGTCAGGAAGGAGCACCTGAGTCCTCAAAGTGACATCCCTGCTCTTCAACACCTTCAAGAGGCTAGTGCAGCAGATTTGCCCAATGTAGGTGGTTGTTTGACTTCTTGGCTGCTGTTTCCATGAATATTGACTTGGATCCAAGCAAAAAGAAATCCTTGACGTGAATCTTCTCTGTTTACCTTTATGCTGTCGACTGGTCTAATTGTGAGGATTTTGGTTTCATTTATACTGAGTTGTAATACAAACTGAAGAATATAATTGTTGATCTTCGTCGGCAAGTTCTTTAAGTACTTCTGACTCCCAGCAAACAAGGGTGTGTCATCTGCATGTTAGGGATTATTAATAAGCCCTCCTTCAATCCTGATGCTACATTCTTTTTTTAGGGTTTTCCAGGAAAAAAAAGAACAGAAAACCTGCTAGACAAATTCTGAAAGAGCGGTAACACTGACGCTACATTCTTCATAGAGTCCAGCTCTCAAATTATGTGCTCAGCATACATATTGAACATGTATGGTGAAAGGATACAACTCTGACACACACCTTTCCTAATTTTAAATCATTCAGTGTTCCCTTGATCTGTTGGAATGACTGCCTCTTGGTTTATGTCCAGGTGCCACGTGTGCACAAAGAAAAGTTCTGGAATTCCCATTCTTCTAAGTGCTATCCATATTTTGTTATAATTCACAGTCGAATGACTTTTCATAGTCAACAAAGCACAACCAAGCCTCTTTATGTAATTTCTACATCAAAATCAATACTCATGCATTATTAAGTATTCATGGTGATTTAGGCCATTTATACATGATAAAACACTAACAGATAGGTAGTATTGTCTTTATTTAAATTTTACAGATCTAGTGTCAATTATTTACTTTTATTTATTCTTAATGATTTATTTAATTTGTGTGCCCACCTATCACATCCCAACCAAAGAAACACTTATTCTCACTTCCATAAAGCCAGGGGCCATTCTGCCCTACAGGTAGATGAACATGTACCCCTTTTATAGCCCAAACCAATTTGAAGTGGATTTTCTGTTGCTAGCAACCAAACACGGTTTGATAATTTTTTAGTCCAAAATGAGTAACAATTCCTCAAAGGGGTGGAGGTTAGCTATCCTCCATTTTACATATTTTAGACAATGAACTTGGTCTGTTTCCATAATCTGAAGACCTAAAATTACTTAAGCTTATATTTTAAATGAGTGAGTGTCTGAATAAACTTTAAAATATGAAATGTTATCTTTCTCCTTTTGTGTCCCTATCCTCCCCAGTTGAGATATATGACTGCACATTGCGATATTCAAAGGAAATTTAAAAACTATACTTGATTGTAAGCCAGCTCTTTGAACTTTACTTTTTCTTACCAATTGATGATAAGCTGCTCTCTTTCTGTTTTATAACAAATCAGATTAGCCTACCCCTTCTCCACTTGACATTATTTGAAAATCAAGCATAGCTGAGGTTAAGTTACTAGAAGTCAGGAAGACGGAATTAGAAAAGATTCACACATCTCACACTTGCCCTGTGAAACCTGAACTTCCTTTCACATTTCTACCCATCAATTGGTAATGTTCACCAGAGAATGACATTCGTGCAGCTACGTGCTTTGTTTTGTTTCTCCCATAATGATCAAAAGTGCGATAGATCTTGTTCAACTGCCAGTTGCCGTTTCTAAAGACATTTATGCAACGACTTAAGGCCCTTGTTTTCCAGGGACCCTGAAGGCTGTGTAGAGATGACACACAGCCTGAGGGGAAGGGTGGGATGGGAGATGAGAAATACTTTAAAGATATTAGTCACAGAGAGGAGCTGAAGATCCCTCATCTCCTGGCTGGTAAGCAGTCCACTGAGAGGGAATTATCTCTCACATTTAAAGTGGAAATTACTATCTAAGGGGAGAGGGTGGTTATTTATTCCCAGGCCCTGCCAGCTTCCATATTGCTCTCTTGCTGTGTCATAGTCACAGATCGGTACAATGACAAGAATGATCATTTTTAATAATCCTCCTTAAGAAATCATTTTATTGATCCTCACTGTACCTTTTCTTTCCCCCATGACTCAGCAAGTCAAAGTCGCTTCCGTTTCAGCGGCTTTCTTCTCATTCAGCAAATTGCCCACGGGTTAACAAGCCTTGAAATGTTAACAAATGAAGAGATTTCAGCACCAAGGAGAGTGTCCTACTGGTTTCCAGGGGTTTTCGTCTCACCCTCTTGTTATTCATGAAATAATATATGACGTGTAGTTTGGCAGAGAGCTGCAAAGAACCTATCTGATTCAGGAGCAGAAGCCTAGCCATTTTTGTAAGAAACAAAACCTCCCGGGTTCAAAGGGCTTTGTATATGTCCACATTGCTGACCTCTCATCTTTAAGTCCATAGGAACTGGTGGTTCTTTGACTATTTTTCTAATGTCAAAACCACAGCAAAACCATAGACGCAGGCTGTGGAACGATGCAGTGACGTCAGGAAAAGGGTACACGAGCGAGCAGTGATTAAAAGCTGCATGAAAGCAGGTCCCCTGCCTGGCTCTCTGTTTTCACCTCGGAGGCTAGCACATGGTAAATGAGTCCGGGGACAAAGAACAAATGAATAAATCACATTCCTTTACAGAGCAAAATGAACTCGTGGATGGCATTCATTAAAAGAGAAGAAATGAATTTTTAAAAGCCTTGTTTGAAATGAGCAGTCGCTTTCGGCAACTGGTCTCAGAGTCTGACATTTGAACACATCCCTCCCTCTCTTGGATCAATGGAGTCTCTGTAGCTGAGAAAAAGAATACCCCGGAGCATCCCTTTCATCTCCACTAAGCTTGTAGTGTACGGGGTTCTCCTTAGAACACCGAGAAATCACCAAAGAGCCAATCCACATAGTCCTACACTTTCAGGGCATCGTGAGATGCCCCCGTGGCTCCCCAGACGGCAAGTCCACCATGGCCTGAGAACCTGGTTCAGCATTGTTACCATATGTCAGGAAACAGGCCTGGAGGGCTAACCTTCATCTTCTTCCAGCAAGTCCCCAGAGCATCATAATTGTGTGTCGCTATCCCCAAGCAGTCCCTTCCTTCTGTGCCCAGAGGAGAAAATACCAAGACTCCCTTTGCTGAGAGATTCTCAAGAGTCTAGTTGTACTAGGTAATAAAGGTCAATAATGTAAGTCTGTCCTGAGTTGCCACCATAGCCCTGTGTAGGGTCCAAAGACTAGAACTTACTAGGGCCAGGGCCCAAAGTGGGAGATAAAATATAAAGGGGCAAAAACACAGTGTTGAAGCTGTTTTCAACAGCCAGCATATTTTGAGGACTTCTCGGGCCTCTAAGCCCCTTGCTTCTTTTAGCTTCTATTTATGCAATGACACAGAGGTGGACAAAGTCAAGCCTCAGGGATCCCAGTCAGGCACAGCCCAGTTCTTAGTTCTTGGTAGGCTTCTGAGCTGAGGCTCCACCAGACTTGGACTGTACTATCAGGTCCCCCAAATGGGGGGAGCTGCCAGGGAAGGACTAATTTCCATTTCAAACTGCATTCTGGTACTTTGTACTTCAGCACCATTGGCCGATCAATATTTAATGCTCAGAGATTCTGACTCTGCGGGAGTCATGTCAGGGGACCTTGGGAGCCAATCTGCTTGAGCTTCTACGTGATAATTATTCATGGGCTCCTGCCTCTCGCTCTTTCTCTCGCACGGTCCCACTCTGCAGACTCAGTGCCTTACTCAGTCTTCTCTGTCGCTCTCTCCGCTGCTGTAGCTAGACTCCGCCTGCCTTCGCTGCTCGCTCAGCATCTGCACATCCCTACAATGGCTAAAACAGCAATGGGTAAGGCATCGCGCCTCCTCCCCTAGGGCTTGCCCCAAAGCGGAACCCACCTCTCACCTTCTTTCTTAGAGTTTAAAAAGGCTTTGGGAGATATTTTATAAAAAAAGGAAAACGTTCTTGATAACCCAGAAGCGAAGAAGGATGGAGGCAGCTCCAGGGGTGGTGGGAAGGCAAAGGAAGGGGTGGTGTCCTTGGGTATATCAGTATCGAAAGAAGAATTTCTTTTTTAAAAGGTAGAAAGCAGGTAAGTTGCCCTTCCCTAGGTGGGGGGTTGATTCTGTGTCCAGGTTTAAAATTAGGGTTCGGGAGGGAGGGAGGAGGTGATCTTAACTGTTTCCCTTCCATGGGGTTAAGGAACGATGTGTAAAGTGTTTTGTAATATCCTTCATTTCTTCTCTAGTTAAAACAGAAAACTGGGAGGAGGGATAGAGAGAAAGAAAAATGCAAAGTCAACGCGGTCCCATAGCGGGTGTTGGAAAGATGGGTGGAAACAGTGCAGGGGGAAAGAATGGGGCAGATTTTATCATATTGTCTACTTGGAGAAACCGCTAGTCCTGGGGAGCAGTAGGGGGGTTGGGGGGAGAGGGCACCACTCCTTTGTTTTAGGGCATGGGAGGGGGAGGAGGGAGGGTAGGGCGTGGTGAAGGGCGCGGGTGGGCAGCTGCAGCGCCCCGGG